TATTTATTGGCTGTTGAGGGAAAAAGATAATTTTCGGAGCATTTTGTAAGTATGATGAAACAATCTCAAGTATTATTTCATACAATATCTTTAGATTAGGTAAGAATTTGGAGCAAGCGTTGTTAATAAAAAATTTTGCAACTCTGATTGCAATAGTAAATTACATATTTCCATTGTAAGTAGAACGTTGCACATGTTACACCGAGAGAAAAAATACGTAAAAAATAGTAAATATTTATTTAATAGGCACTAATAATATATTTACATAAATCTATATTATTTTGTTCAAATAGAATAAAAATTAATAATTGCTTCCATAAGAAATTAAAGTTTTCTTATGGTTTTAAGAAAATATATATTTTCTTATTTGACAAATATGTATTTGATATTAATAAGTAGTAACATTTAAGTAGCAATATATTTTTGATATTAATATTTGATATTAGTAAATAGAGATAATAATTATTTATAATATTAATAGATATCAGATATAAAAGTAAATATATATTAGTATCCACTATGAATAAATATTTACTATTTCTCAGATATTTTTGTGTACGTCTATATGTTAGTGCCAACTCGCCGTAAAAAGCAGCACTGCGTGGTGCTTGTCATTACGCGAAAGTGCTCGCAACGTGCACTTGCGTGGTGACTCACGTGCACTCGTCGCATACGCTTCCTGAAAGGGTGCGGTCCCAGTGCAAAAGGGAAGGAAGAAAAAAAAAGGAAAAGAGTAGTTCGCCGAGATTCGTGCTTACATGTATGGACCAATGCACGCGCACCAATGCATTCGCGTAAAGAGAGCAATTCGATGCATGGGGTCGATTAATGCAAAAACCGAACTACGTGCCATGTAGTGCAATTAATGCAGTTAGGTACGCTCGCGCGAGACGTAACGCTGTTTCACGGTGGACGTATTTTTGCTCGGCAACCCCCTCGTGAATCATACGAATCACGCCGTTGCGTAATTCAAAATTGCGCTCGAACCTGCTCCGCGCCGCAGCGGGTAATCGTACAATGTATCGATAATGCCGGCAGGGCATCGCGACGCAACCGATCGACGTTTTTGCCTGTTATTAGGCCGTAATTGTATATGCACCATGCGGGCGTGATTTAAAGATGCGCGGCGAGCTCGCGTGAGGAATATTAAACGAGAAGGATCGCGAGTTATACGAAGAGATCCACCGATTCCGCCATTTCGCGTGTTTATTATTTTCGCGATATTACAACCGGTAACCGACCGATCGAACCGGAAATTTCTCGATGCAGAAGTAAAATTACTCTTGACCTTTGCCGGCGAATTGGTAGGAAGTTACTTAATGGTCGTGCATAAACATAACGAAGTTCATAAGGCCTGTATTAATAGTCGTTACTTGAAGCTTGCCTCAAGGGAGATATCCGAACCTAAAGTTAGATCGAAGTTGGATATCACAGGATATACGTGACATTATATTTGCAATTTCTGTTCCACTGGAGAGATCACATCTAACTCGAAACTCAAATATGAGTATCTCGCATGAAACTTATTTCAGGTGAGACGTTCAGATTTGAATTCAGAGTTGGATACGAGTTCTTTAGTTGTGTGAATTCCGATTACAGATATAATCACATAATATCATTGAAAAACTTAGCCCTAACTTTGAATTCAAATCCGAATATTTCACTTGACTCAGGTTTCAAATGAGATGCTCAGACTTGAATTCAGAGTTAGGTGAGATAAGAATTTTTAGTTGAAACGCGATTACAAATATAAATATTGTATATATATTTAATTATATATACACTGGTAAAAAATGGTTGATCCAACTAAAATTATAGTTATTTTTGGCTTTAATCATATTTTTTGATAGTCCTAAAATGGTAACATATAAGGTTTTCATCACTAACATCATAGTAAAGTTAATAAAAAAGAATAATTTTTTTTTATCATAATTTATAATAATTATTTTTCTATGTGGTTATAAATACCAAACATTTTTTCCCAATGTAAAAAACGTTAATCCAATTTGAACAGGAATCTGAATACCTCACATAAGACAAGTTTCAGGTGACAACTATAAAGCCCATATTAATAATTATTCTTGAAACTTGTCTCAATTGAGAAAGATATCTAGATTTGAATTTATAGTTCGATTTATGTAGCACAAGTAATGAAGGACTCAATGAGTAGTCCACCGTCGAAACGTGCAAATTAATCAAACGACATTCGAAACTTAACGTAAAGGACAATAAGAGTTCAAGCACAGGTTGAATAGTGCTATTAAAACTATTAAAAAATAGTGACCCAATCTCACAATGAGAAGAAATTTATTAATCATCAAACGCGTTTCGGTCTAACTTCGCAGACCCTCTTCAGTGATTACAAGTTGGAAACTAATTATATTTAAGTGTCACAAAATGTAAAGGTCGCAATAATCGGTATAACAAAGGTTGTTACAAAAGTTGTCGCTGCAAGTTTTGCTTACGGGAATCGGAAGCTTCAACGTAAATAATTACAAATACTCATTAAGGCAAAGAATATTTCTCCCTGGAAGACATTAGTAACTTGTTATAAGATTGGTCACTCCATCGCACGTACTAATTTTCTTTGTCTTAATGACTATTTGTAATTATTTACGTTGATGCTTCCGATTCCCGTAAGCAAAACTTGCAGCGACAACTTTTGTAACAACCTTTGTTATACCGATTATTGCGACCTTTACATTTTGTGACACTTAAATATAATTAGTTTCCAACTTGTAATCACTGAAGAGGGTCTGCGAAGTTAGACCGAAACGCGTTTGATGATTAATAAATTTCTTCTCATTGTGAGATTGGGTCACTA